TCAGATAATGACTTAATCCCTTCCAACCTAGACGAAGCCTTTAACGCCACAAACATCTCAAACAAAAGTAAACGCTCGGCCGCTACATGGGTGCATATCACTGCTATCTATGAAATATGGTGCTGGTACACACAGGCCAGATGGGGGAACAACATAATTCCTCTAAACAAAATATCAGAAATCACAAAAGTTAGAATTAACCATGAGCTTAAACTTCTATATAAGACCACTAGTTTTAGATCCGCCCCAAATACAGCAGCCAAAAAAATACTAAAATATATAAAATCCTCATTGTAAATATAATAAGTTGTAAATAAAATAAAGTACGCTTAAATGCGGTTTTTTTTTTTTAAAAAAAAAAAAAAATTCACATGTTGATAAATTATTGGAAATTTTTGCTTATTGGGCAGCGTATTATTTAGAACACGGTAATAGTATTGAATATACCGATAATAATGAAAAACAAAAGGATAAAAAAAGAAGTATTGAATTGTATAAGGATGCTGCTGCCCAATTAGAAAGCGAATGTGATAATTTAAAATATCAAATTCAGAAGTTAAAAGATGAATTAATAAAATAAAATTAAATTAATAATAAATCTGTACCCAATATGAATTATATTTTTTTTCAAATAAATTTAATTTAAATTTATATAAATTTAATAATTCAAATATCAAAATCAGGTTTTTCAAATTTAAATTTATTTTCATTTGTATGATTGCTTTTTAAAGTAATCTCAGGACGATATAAATTATATATTTTATACAAAGTTTGATTACGTATTTCATTTAAAATGAAATCTATTCGAGACTCAATCAGATATTTATAAGACTATTTTTGCATTATCACCAATCTCTTTTCATATTCAATGTTTTCTAAATGTAAGTTAGAATATAGTTTACGTGATTCACCAGCTATTATCAGATCTGAACTCATAACAAAAAATGTTTTCTAGTGACAGATTCGATCATGAAAAAAATTCGAAATCTCTCATATAAAGATTTATTTTTCCGTAAGGAAGAATAATTTCTCCAGATATCACATCCTCTAAGGGAATTATGAGAAATTCGTAGTAATAATAATCTTGATCTTTACCGAAAGAATATGTACTGGTTTCTTTATTTAATCCTAGTACCCCATTGATAGTTTTAATATAATTTTTTTTTGTATTCAAATCATCTTTATCAAAATTTAAAAATAAAGAAACTCTTTGTTTGTTATATATTCCATCTGGAAATGTCATGATTACCATTCGGTTCTCAATATATGGTGAATAAGAAATATGACCGTAAAAACTTGATCCTTCTAAAATTTTGAGTTAAAATATAAATCTTAAACAGTTTGCTATCTCATCTTGCGTTGCAACTTCATTATCTATAAACACACAGTGTTCGTTGTTAAAATCGATCTTATCTCTATCATCATCAACAATATTTTTTCTTGGTACTTGCTGTAAACTACTAATTTTTTGTTCTAATCTATTATGAAGAGTTTCTCTAGGATTTTCAACTATTTTACTTTCCAGATATCCAATTCCATCTGATACCACTTCTGTCGCAACAAGAATCATTATTTTAATAAGTGCTTTTCCAGGAAAAACAACATCTAAAAGTACCCCAATCACAACATCCAAAGCTCCATTAACAGATTCTTGTACATCTCCATGAAATCCATACCAGACCATTTTTGAAACAGCACAAAATGTTCCAATTCCAGGAATAACTGAGAGTACACGATAATATTTTTTAAAAAATTGATCAGTCATATGTTCCAATGCATCCATTTTCAATAATTTCCTTTAATTTTATCAAAAATCATAGCATTATTTATAGTTTCAATTTCGATACAGTATTGATACTTTCGATACAGTATTGTAATTATTAAAAAAATTAATAATTATAAATATTATAAAAGTAGTAATTTTAACCATATCAAAATATAAAAAATGAATAATCATATAAAGGAATATTATCATTTTAATACTTTGATAAACAAATATTCATGTAAAAAATGTGGAAAATTTCTTAAAATTTCATCAACTAATGAAATGACAGAACATGTTATTAAATGTTTTCAAAAAGAAATTAAAGAAATAAATGATAGTGGAATTAATAACGAAATAGCATTACATTATGATTTTGTAACTCAATTTACCAATGATAAAACTCAAAGAATTCACAGTTGATGAAGTTACTAAAAATTTAATTTGTAACAAATGTAATCATATTTATCCACCAAATTTACAAATATTTACCTTAAAAAAACATTTTATGGATATTCATCCTAATAATTGGAATGAAATTAAAAAGGATAATAAGAAAAGAAAAGTAACCAATATTGAAAATAATAAAAATAATAATGACGAAAACAAAATTAAAAAATTATTAATTAAATATCATCAGGAATTATTAGAAATTAAGGATGATGAAATAAAAAATTTAAAAGAACAAATAATTAATGGTGAATTAAAATTATTAGATTTACTTATAGAAAAGGTAAAAAATCGAGAAACATTTATTAATGAATATCAAAAAATTATTAATTAAGTTTAATTAAGTAAAATTTATATTCCACCAAAATCAGGTTTTTCAAGTCTAAATTTAGTTTCATTCTGATTTTTTATAATAATTTTTGGATCAGATAAATTATATATCATATATAAATCATTTATATATTTATAAAACCATTTTTGCATTTCCTCCAATCTCTTTTTATATTCAATGTTTTCTAAACATAATTTATAAAAATTACATGATTTATCTATTATATCTGAGGTCACTACAAAAAAATGTTTTCCAGTGATAAATTCGATTATTGGCAAAATAAAAAAGTGCATCTAGTTTTTTTACTCTATCTCCTCTTTTAAATACTAATTGTGAAGATGGTTCATTTTTTTTTGGAACGAAATAATAATAATGATTATTTAGATTCTTGATATAAAAAAATTATCTGCTATATTTATCCGTAATCTAGATTCTGCTACTATTTTACCTTCAAGATTTTTCATTTTAAGAAATATTTCTCCATGAGGAAGAATAATTTGTCCGGATATCTCATCTTCTAAATCTACCAAGAAAAATTCATAATAATAATAATCTTGATCTTTACCAAAAGAATATGTAGCAGTTTCTCTATCAAACTCCAGTACCCCATTGATAGTTTTAATATAATTTTTTTTTGTATTCGAACCATCTTTATTAAAATTTAAAAATAAAGATACTCTTTCACCATCTGAAAATGTCATAATTACCATTCGATTCTCAATATATGGTGAATAAGAAATATGACCATAAAAACTTGATCCTTTTAAATTTTTAAAATGAAATATATATCTTAAACGATCAGCTATCTGATCTTGCGTTGCAACTTCATTATCTATAAACACACAGTGTTCGTTGTTAAAATCGATCTTATCTCTATCATCATCAACAATATTTTTTCTTGATGCTTGCTGTAAACTACTAATTTTTCATTCTAATCTATTGTATAATGTTTCTCTAGGATCTTCAACTATTTTGCTTTTTAGATATTCAATCCCATCATCATATACTGTATCTATTGAAACAAGAATTGTTATTTTAGTTTTTCCAGAAAAAACCGCATCTAAAAGTACCCCAATCATAACATCTGAACCCCATCAAACGATTCTAATGTATCTCCATGAAGTCCATACAAGATCATTTTTGAAACAGTACAAAATGTTCCAACATACGAAACAAGTGAAAGGACATGATAATATTTTTTAAAAAATTGACGAGTCATATTGTCAAGTAAACTCATTTTAAAAAAACTATAAATAATCAAGTTAAGGTAATATGTTATTTTATAAAATTTGAAAATCTTTTTAATATGTCTTTACCCGATATTGTTTTCAATAAAATCTATCGAATTGTCGACACCATACCATATGTTGGCACTATTTATGCAGTTTCAAGAGCAGTCTGGTATGGTTTTCAAGATGATGTAAAAGAAGTTGCAATTTCTGCAGTAAATGCTGTTCAAGGAACAATAGGAGATATTTTTTTGTTTAGAAGAATCGCAGAACCATTCAAAATTTCAGTTATACGCACAATGATGCAAAATGATGCAAAATGCATCAGATATGGTAGTAGAAGAAGTATTTGATTGGTTAAATAATAAAAAAGTTGATAAAGATGGTATCGATCCCAGAACCATACTTCAAGTATTAGAAGAAAAAATTAAATTACTAGAATATAAATTTATAGATGAAATTACCAGTGATGATAAATATAAAATCGATTTTGATAATGAACATTGTGTATTTGTATCTCATAAAAATGATGAAGAAAAAAACACAATGGAAACATGTTTTGAAGAAATGTGGCATCGAGCAATCGTACATGGATCATCATATTCGGGAGTTGTCACATATGATCCTTACATGAATAAAAACATGATTGTTATTGCATTTCCCAATGGATTAAATCTCAATACACCCGTAAATGTTTTTTTACACTGGGATAAAAATTTGTTATGGCAAACAATGGAATCTTGAAATATGATGAAACAAAATGCCAATATCATTTTTTAAAAGGTAATGAATATTATTGGTTCAAATTTTACACAAATCCATTATGTATTAAAAATAATGTTAATGAAGATAAAATAATTCTTCAGTTTGGAAAATTAAATTTATTTATTGCCGATAAATATAATAATATCGTCGCAACATCAGAATTACAAATAAACATAGCAAATAATATTCGATATATCATATCAAATAATCAATATATCTCTGTTGAAAAAATCGATAACGAATATAAATTAGTATTGAAAAATAGAAATATAATAGATAAATTATATTCACTTTTTTACTTTGATGTAAACAGAATAATAATATATTTAAAAACAGGTTTAGCATTCACATTTGATATCAGTCAAAAAACTTACGAAATTAAATTGAAAAATATAAACTTTAAAAAAGATAAACAAAATTCACAACTTTGGGAAGTTGATTTTTTTAAAGATAATCATTATAGACTGAGATCTTTTGTTAGTACTCAACGACAAAGAATGTTTTGTATTGGTGAAGATTTACATATGTGGGATTTTGTAAATTATCTTTGGAATTTAGAAAAAGTTAATTTTGTTGATGAATAATTTATTAAATAAATAAAACATGTAATATATTTAAATTGAATTTAAATATTATGTAATTTTTCAGTTCATTTATCATTAATATCCACTCTCAGAATTCCATCACCATCCTCGTTTGTCCAGGAACCTCTCTGTTTGTCTATTTCTTCTAATTCCTTTGCTGCTTTTTCATAATCAATTTCCTTAACTTTTTCATTACATTTTCGGTATAATGTTTCAATCATTTCTTGTAATTCTTCTTTTGATTTTTTTTTCATGTAATCCAACCCAGTTATAAATCCTTGAATTTCAAATATGAGTAGTTTTAAAACCATTATGTCATGATGTAATTCGATACGTGGTGCTCGACATTCTTTGATATATTCTTGCATTTTCTGTTTTTTGATAGCACCGAAAATAGCATCTATCATTAATTTAATCCCGATATCTATTACACTACTAATAACTGCACCCAATATCAGTCCAGCAATTCGAGGAGCCCATTTTAATGCAAATTTAAAACTAGTAAAAGGAATTCTAACATTCTTCCATTTTGATACCGTGAATTTATAGGCATGGGTAGTTACTTTATAAAATATTCCAATTTCAACTACAGATTTTAAAACATAAGGAATTGTCATATTAAATTCTTCATAAATTGGTATTTTAATTATTTCTTTTAATTCGGGATAATTTAATTCATTTCCAATTTTGGTGTAATATTGTAAGAAGAGAATCTAATTTTTCTGCTTTTGCGGCAAGCCGAACTATATATGAACTAAGATCGTCTGATAATTCATATACTCTGTTTTTATTATTAGAGTAAAGCATATCATCCCACACTCCCATACATTGAACTATTTGAACATTTTCTGGAATTATTTCATTCTCATTTTCTTCGGTTGTTTTAAAATCAGAAGTAAATCTCTCAAAATAAGTGGATATTTCTATAGAAAGGAGAATTCTCGTTTGTAAAATCTTTGATATCTTAGTCTTTTTCTTCCAAATCCAATTTTCAGTAACTCTAAAAAGGTTACTAGTAGCCCCATCTGAAATTATAAATTTTTTCATTTCTAGATCAAAGTTGTCTTCTAAACTTTCCAGAGCATCTGTTTCAATTTCTTGAGTCATTTTAGATTCTTGTGAAATATTTTTCTTATCTTCTTCCACATTTAACGAATAATATTGAGTCTATTTATATTATTTTTAAAATTTATATAAATAAGGTTACTTATCTTAATCTTTTTTTATTAAATGTGGAAAAAGATAAGAAAAATATTTCACAAGAATCTAAAATGACTTAAAAAATTGAAACAGACGCTCTGGAAAGTTTAGAAGACAACCCTCCTTATCTAATTACATATATGGGAACATGAGATGATATTCTCTACCCTGACAATCCTAAAAGATTAAAAAGAGCACATGAATTACAAAACGATATCAAACATTATGCAGTTGAAATTGCTGGAAAAAAGGAAAAATTAGATTCTATTATTCAAAAATTAAAAGAAAAGCTAGATCTTATATCAAAACAAATTGATATTCCTAAAACTACATATATTGAAAAAAAAATTTATGAAGATTCTTTTTTTTTGGATTCTCGGAACAATAGAATTTATTGTAGATTTTGAAATATTTCGAAGAGCTTATCATCACGCATCTGAATTTTGGAAACTTAAAATAGAAAGAACTTTAATTCCTGATATTTCTAATATAGATCCAGGGTCAATCGAGGAAGAAAATATAATCTGGGAACGTAATCCTCGTCCTGGCACTAGTGTACAAGTTACTCCTCAAGATCCACAAATTACAGTTTTTCCGGAAATTCCTGTTACTCCAGATTTTCCTTTATATAAAAGATTATGGTTTAAATTAAAATGAAATCACAGAGTTTTTTTTGTTGTAATAAGTGGTCTCATTACCATAGTTGCGGCTGTTGGTATTGATTTAATAGTTAGTTCATATACTGGTGCTAAAAGAAGAAAAGAAATGCAAAATTATATCAATGATTGTCTACAACCATGCATCAAATTAAAACATAATATTGTGGTTTTAGATTTGATCATTGATGAAATTAAAGCATTCATAACCGGAATAGACATGATGAGAGAATATTATAATCAAGTATTTTCAGAAAAACAATTAAAAGAAATGTTTGAACTTTTTCAAAAAAAATGTAATGAAAAAATTAAAGAAATTGATTATGAAAAAACAGCGAAGGAATTAGAAGAAATAGACAAACAGAGAGGTTCCTGGACAAAGGAGGGTTGAATAAAATATTTATTTATTCATTTATAACAATTCTTTTTTTAACATAATCTTTTATGTTTACAAGATTTTGATATTCATTATTTTCTATATATGTAATATTTAAAGAATTGCAAATATATTTAATAATTTCTTGTTGATTTGTAACATCTATATTATTATCTAATAATAAAGCATAATATATCTTTAATAAATTATTATCTGAATTTATACTCAACATTGTGCATATTTCTGTTACCAACATATCAATCTTTTTTTGTTCCTCATTCAATTTCTTGAATGAAGCAAATTCTTGTTTTAATAATTTCACCTCTTTTTCATATGAAATTTTAATTAAATTAACCTCTTCTTTCAATAATTTTATTTCTTGTTCAACAGGATTGTGTATCGAACCTTCTCTATAAACGCGTAATACATATTCGTAATAATTTTGTGTTTTGTTTATGTAATCTAAATTAGAATAAGAATTTTTGTTTATATTTTGAAGAATGTCTAAAATAATTTCTTTGTTTTGCATTGCTCCATCATGAGCTATTGTTAATAATACCTTTGCACCATCTTTTTTCCAAATCACATCATTAGAAGATGTTTCATTACTTCCATAAAAATAAGATATTGACATCAATTGATATTTTATAGGATTGTTAATATATCTACTATGAGAAATTTTACAAATTTGATATGGAAAATACATTTATTTAATTTTGTTATAGGATTCTGAGTTTCGTACCCGTCATCATCCCTATTCTTTTTTTTATTTTCTATTAAATATGAAAAATATCTTTGGATCTCTTTAATATAATCAGTATTGGTATATTTGTTTGTTAAATAATCATAGGCTTTTTTGTTTTTCTTTTCGTAATTAATAGGTTGGTTATGAATAACAACATCTTCTAAATGATTCCATGTTACTATATCTTTTGAAACATTAATATCATCTCCATTCTTGTAATAATTTATTATTAATTCTTGATATTTTTTTGGATTAGTAGTTAAATATGATTTACAAATTTAATGTAATTTATGTACAAATAACATGTCTAAAAAAATTAACTAATGGATTTTCTATTGAGTAATTTATCTTTCAATCGATGGAAAAACTATTTTTTGTCAAGGTTCTTTTTAATCGGGTTTTACTTTACTATTTGATTCTTTAATTTTCAAATAACACAATACTCATTTACGGTATCAAAAAAGCTTTTTAAATAATTTTTTTTATATTCATCATTAAAAAAATCATAATAACCATTAGAATATTTAAATTTAT